TTTTTTTGTATTTTTGATAAATTTTGTATTTTTATTTTTTGGTCATATTATAACCGTTATTTTTATATTTTCAGTCTGCAGTGCCGGATGCAATGACGGCCCGAATCAGATGGCTCTTGCAGTGTTTACTTTTCGCAGTAGTCATCCGCTGAGTCGAACCCGCCCTTCAAATTACTGCAATAAGCTGAGGTCCTTTTACGGCCGCACAACCAGTCGGCCGGGCCCACAGACCTCCTGACGTAGTTGGAAGGTTTTTGATGCTTCGAGATTAATTCTACCTTGACCGACCCTTGCATAACTTCTACCCTTGGTTTTAGGCAAGGATTTCATGCCGCCAGAAGCCCTCAGATCTCCTGACGTAGTTGGAAGGTTTTTGATGCTTCGAGAGTAATTCTACCTCGACCGACCCTTGCATAACTTGTACCCTTGGTTTTAGGCAAGGATTTCGTGCCGCCAGAGGGCTGTCTGGCTGATACCGCCATTTTCTGTCGCTGTACTCGATTGTTCGGGGCAAGATCGGAATTGCGCAAAGTCACACTAGTACCTACCACACTAGGACTCGGAAGAGGCCTTGGGGCCGGCATTGGAGGATGTCGCCGCAGTTTTCCTTCTCTTCACCAAGGTTCCACTGGCTACTGGAGTAACCTCCTTAGACCTGGCTGCTTGCTGGATGTAGCGACAGGAGGTGAGGGTTTCCCCGCCCCCTATTCTTCCTCCTTCTCCTTCCCTTCTGGATTTGTGAAGGAGGACCAACTGCGTCAAAGGAGGGTCGTTGGCAGCGCGCTGCTTCTCGAACCACATCCCCTGCAAACGATTGGTCCTCTTCTGACTCTGAAGAAGAGAGGATTGGCATTAGCTCCGAACTCTCCTTCAGGTCGCGCTTCTGGTCTATGACGCTGGAGACTTTGGCAATGATTGGGGCCTACAAAATCCTTGCCCCTGCCGCAAATGCGGATGAACTCATGTGGGTACCATCTGTAGTATTATCATACAAACGTTGGTGGGTATTTCAGGTGGTATGCCATTCGGGGGACACACACACCAAATGGATTTTAGTCGCCTTTTACGATAAGCATGCTTTACTTCGGGTATATTATATTCTCGCACCTAGCCTATGTTGCTTTGACAACACTGAACAGCTGATGGTTTGACACTTTATCCGATTTTACCAGCAAAAATTCTTCGGGTGAAACCTTGCGACTTCTGACAAAGAGAGGACCTATTTTACTCTCCCATTTTTCCCCAACTTTGCTAGAGAACCGAAAGCGGGAAGGATTTATGGCAACCAACCTCAACAACCACTCGAAAACTCCATGGTGGTCTCCGTACTTAAGAAAGGCCAAGTGAACTGGGTGCTCAAAGGACTATACCATTTTTCTAGCTTGATATACAGTAGGCACAAAACACGATAGGGCAAGCGAAGATGGTAAGCTTTAGAAGCCCTAACAAAAGATAAAAAACAGTTCCAATTAACAACTAAGTCGCTAAGAGCACGTCTTCTACTCGCCACACACTTACCGAACTCATTCGTTCAGACCATGGAGATGATGACTTTACATACACTTAGACCAAATTATCTGATTGGGGCATTGGAAGATGTATCTTTTCGCTAGCCAAAGTCAGATGGGTTTTCGGCTTATTTGATCGATACAAGTCACAACTGGTGTGTCCGGCCTTATTACAACAGCGAGAGAGGTTGATGGTTGTAGAGGTAATGAAGTACACCGTAGCCATAGCCTAGATGCGGTTAGTGTGGATGATAGCTCGGGTAACATTTATGGCCAAGAAAGGAAAAAGTAAATACTCATTCGCTAAATCGTTTCGTTCTATCAGCTTAACCACCTTTAAGCTAAAGGCGATGGCGAAAATTATTGATAATGAAATCAAGACAAACACTTTGAGACTCAAATCCCAAAAAACAGTCACTATTCTTTTAATAAGAATAAGAATCGTCCAGGTAATGAGAACTTGTTGTCACCCGACATGGTGAAGTTAGTTTTGGGACTTGTGCGGCCGTAGAAGAGCTCGGTGGTGTCGCACCTCTAGTTAAGGGTGAGGCTATAGGGGTTTTGAAGTTTGAAGTTGTTCGTTTTGTATACATAATTGTTCGGATGTGGCGGCGGAAAAAGGGGCTCGCCCGCCTTGCTATAGATCTGCTGTACGCCCGTAGCAGCAAGTGTTCAAGCTGCATGAAAACCCCCGCTATTTTTTTAGGCTCCGCATCGACTTAACAGTTTTTTCTGAAGTTAAATTGGAACTTTTACTTTGCACTCTTGTACTCATTTGTATTTAAATATTTTGATAGCTCAAAATACGTATACGTAGGCATGTATATGTATATATCGAGAAATGTATCGATAAAGCTAAAAATGTTCAGATATTGATAAAGTGTCGATTAATTAAATACACTGGACCACAAATTTCAACTTTTTCTCTTTACCAGAAACGCCGTTATGAAATTCTTATGTAAAATCACCCCCTGATTCCGAAAATCAAGGTAATTTTTAATTCTATGGTACCGTTTTTGAGATATTTGCAATTTACCGTTTTTGCAAAAAAAAAAAATTGGGTCCACTTTATCATATATATCTCAAGAACGAATTAAGCAATTCCAAAACGGTAATAAAATTTTCTATAAACTGTGCATACAACACTTTTTGCTAGGCCCTGTAGATGCAAAGATAACGAACAATCATTACCGATTTTTTCAATTTTTTTTGTAAAAATATAAAAAAAATTGTACTTTGCGGGGAAGGATCTCGAAAACCTTTTATTTTTTTACAGATTTTTTTTTTCTCCCTAAGCTCTGTTGTATTACAAAAAAAATAAGCTATCATCGAAGAAAATCGATGCAAAACTACGTAAGTTATAAGCGATCAAATAAAAATACCCAGGTTGCGCAACTTCAATGTATGTACCTATACATACATACATATATTAAAGGTATAAAGTGCAAGTGAGATATTATCCGGATAAACGAATAACACCATAACAATGATAACACTTTTTCTTTAAATAAATCAAATAGTACTTTTAATACTCGAATTGTATTATAGTAGGTAGAGTGGTTGCATCGAAAGGAAGAGTGGTTGGGTTCGAAACCTGCTGTAGGCATGTAGTTATAAACATGTATTTCCGTCAGTTATGGGTAAGTATGCAGGTAGATTTTCAAAATTATAAGACACAGAAAATTTCTAAAGCCTACATCTAAAACAGGTAGTATTTTCTTTTCCCGGCTTGTTATAAAAAGGAACCTTTCTGTCTAGGTAAGATTTGATTTTTTCAATTTTATTCTTGTTCCGAGTATAAATATGAGTTAATGCGCTTTGAAACTTCATAACATCTTCAAGGCTCGCCGGAGATAGTTCAGTTCATAAGTCTAATTTCAAAACCGTGATTTATTAAAAAAAATAAAATGAGTAAAAGGACGCGAGAATTTGAGTGTAATAAGGATCCAGATATGTTCTGTTTCATGTGTGGCCAATATACTATCATAAGGCGACGAAGAGTGTTCTCAGATTATATCAAAACTTTATACTCCAAGTATTTTGGAATTGAGCCTAAAAGTGCTGAAAAACCATGGACACCGAACACTTTGTGTACATCGTGTCGAGTAGAATTGATTCAGTGGGAATCAGGACAACAAACAAAATTTGATACACCAATGATATGGAGAGAACCTACTTGCCATTCAATAGAGTGTTATATTTGTCAAACAAAAGTACTTGGCATTGGAAGATCAAGAGGAGTAACCTATGCTAGCGTACCTACAGTGACATTACCAGTACTACATTCAACGGCAGTTGCGGATCCAGTTCCATTGTCAACAGTAACATCTGAGTGCGGGGGATCAAGTTGTACTGAATTTCGCATGGAAAACGAAAGAAACAACTTAATGATTGGATAAGAGATTTGGAACTATCCAAGGAAAACGCCGAGATCCACACTTCTCGTATGCAGCAATTTAAATTTGTGTCATCCGATGTTAAGGTGACATATAGTAGAACTCGTCACGAACCATTTTCCAAACACTATACCAAGAAAGACAGTATATGCTACTGCAACGACATCCCTGGTTTATTCAAAGAGTTTGGTCAAACATATGATTCAAAAGAGTGGCGATTGTTCATAGACGGCAATAAACTGAGTTTGAAGGCTGTATTATTGCATATTGGTAACAAAAAGCCTTCTATCCCGATTGCACATGCAGTAAATACAAAGGAAACCTACGAGGAAATGCAAAAAATACTCAAATTTATCAAATATGAAGAGCATGATTGGAAAATATGTTCTGATCTCAAAGTCGTTGCAATGCTATGCGGTCTACAAAGTGGCTACACCAAGCACTGCTGCTTCCTCTGCATGTGGGATAGCCGAGCTCGTAAGGACCACTACGTCAGAAAGGATTGGCCGGAAAGAGTCGAGTCTACCGTTGGTGTGGATAACATTCAAATTGTCAAGAAAGAGAAAATCATACTTCCACCCTTACACATCAAGCTCGGTCTCATTAAAAACTTTGTTAAGGCTTTGGACAAAGAAGGCGAAGCATTCGACTATTTGAAAACAGTTTTTCCAGATATTTCTCAAGCCAAGATAAAGGAAGGTATTTTTGTTGGACCACAAATAAGAAAGTTGATCAACAATAATCAATTCAAAGGACTACTCTCATCAGTTGAGGCAGCAGCGTGGGAATCCTTTGAAAAGGTCGTTGCTTCTTTTCTCGGTAGACACAAAAGCCCTAACTACGAGCAGATAGTGAACGACCTAATCAATAATTATGCGAAAATGGGCGTAAATATGTCTTTAAAAATTCACTTTCTCCACTCACATTTGAGCTTTTTTCCGGCAAATCTTTGCGACGAAAGTGATGAACATGGCGAAAGGTTTCATCAGCAAATGAAATTAATTGAGAATCGATATCAAGGATTCTGGGACGTCGCAATGATGGGTGATTACTGCTGGTTTCTCATAAGAGAAACCGATCCTAAACTGAATAAGCGTCAAAGTAGAACACATAATTATTTCGACAACATAGTAAAATCAAATCAAGATAAAGATTGTTAGAATATAGTATAAACATAAATAAATTTAAAAAAATGTTAAAAATATGGGTAATTTCATTCATAAATCGAACTTTTGACTCAATAGAAACAGAGCATAGCTAGATATTTCACTCTTCTTTATACCATACATACGTTTTGAGGTATACGTTGAAATTGCGCAACATGGGTATTTTTATTTGATCGCTTATAACTTACATAGTTTTGCATCGATTTTCTTCGATGATACCTTATTTTTTTTGTAATACAACAGAGCTTAGGGAGAAAAAAAAAATCTGCAAAAAAATAAAAGGTTTTCGAGATCCTTCCCCGCAAAGTACAATTTTTTTTATATTTTTACAAAAAAAATTGAAAAAATCGGTAATTATTGTTCGTTATCTTTGAATCTACAGGGCCTAGCAAAAAGTGTTGTATGCACAGCTTATAGAAAATTTACCTTTTAAAAGCTTCAAACCGTTTTGGAATTGCTTAATTCGTTCTTGAGATATATATGATTAAGTGGACCCAATTTTTTTTTTTTTTGCAAAAACGGTAAATTGCAAATATCTCAAAAACGGTACCATAAAATTAAAAATAACCTTGATTTTCGGAATCAGGGGGTGATTTTACATACGAATTTCATAACGGCGTCTCTGGTAAATTTTGGCCGTCGACCAGTGATATCTTAGCATAAAGGATATCTTCGAAAAAAAAGTATCACCAATAAATATTTTAAAACCTTATGCATACATATGTCGATAATCATCGATAAACACTTCAATAGCGATATCGATAAATATGAACTATGTATGTGTGTAAATATGATAATAAAAATATCCATAACAAAATCGATAACTTCATCGATAACGGTATCAGTTACAAAAGTATAGGCGAATAAAACTACAAAGAAATTTCGCTGCATAAAAAATTAAAATGAAATTAAATTACTTTTTTTTGTTAATAATTCAATCTCTGTTCCCTGTAGTGCACCATAGGCAGCCTATTTCACATCAAAGTGGCGTGAGTGCTAAACACACTCAATTTCGTGTTTTTTTGTTTTCATTTTGAAGTTTCATATGCTTGCAATCCATTCACACCCATCCACTACCGATATGCCATGCCGCATATAAAATACTCGTCGGCGCCAAGTAAAATTATATGAAGCTTTTCTATGCATAAATATTGCATAGAGGCAAATACCACCTGATGAGAAAACTTATTTAGACCCTTTAGAGTTTAGGTCAGTACAAAGAGATTAGCATTGGCTTAGCAAATATCACGGCGTGTGAGCAACTTTACTTTCCTAGGTATGTATGTATGTACATAGTATAATTTATAAACACTTGCCATGCCACAGATCAAAGGATACGCTTTGATTACAATTTATTTACATGCTGTTTGTTGTTATGATTACACTTCATCGATTCAACTTTAAAACTTTAAAACTTGAATGCGAGACCACCAATAAAGTCGCCGGATGCATTGATCTATCAATAAGTAGTGCCGGTATTGGCAATTAACCTCCTGGCAGGTGGTGGTGGTGCTGGTGGCGTTGGGGCCAGAGTGGTTTGCTACATAAAGATTTATATATGTATGTATGTACTATATGTATGCATGTAAACAATGACGCCAAGTTGCCACTGTTAGTGTTGATTGTGAATAGCGTGCATTGTGTATGAATGTCTGTATAAGTATATTAAATGAATGCATTAAGACTGCATGTCTGGCTGTGTTGTGTGTGTTTGCGTGCAAGCGCTCTTGTGTGAACATATGTTTGCATCAGCTGTTCGCCTGTGAAGTCAGCTGCTAAATAAGTAGCTCAGCTAAATATAAATATATACAATTGTACTATCTACATCTATACATATGTATGTAAGTATGTGAACGGCAAAAAAAAATCGTGTGCTCATACTTTACGGATGATGTCAGTGAAAGCAGTTAAAAGTAATTGAAGCAATAGAAATTTGTAGCAAACGGAAAACGCGCTTAACAACAGATACAAAAAGATACACTCACGAGCAAAATAAGTTCACAGGCAGCCATCTACTAAATATGTATATATACATATGTATGTACATGCTGACGCACATACAGCGACGTCCACTTGAATAGCGCCTACTTTGTATCCTCAGTATTGAGCGTGTGCCTTTTTTATATTCATAAATTTTTCATTAAAAATATAGCGCTTTCTATAAAAAAATCCATGTAAATCCAATTTCCAACCTTTATACAAAATTTAAAACAATTAAAAAGATTTTGAAAAAATTTCAGTTTTTTGAAATTTTAAACTTTGTACAAAATTTGCAATAAGTCAAGAAAATTTCATCAAAATTTTAATTCTTTTTAATTTTCAAACTACAAAATTTATAATAATTCAACAAATTTTCAACAACACTTCAATCTTTTTCTTACTTACAAGCTTTATACAAAATCATATTAATCCGATTTGTAACTTTATACAGAATTTATAAAAATTAAAAAAAGAAAAATCATCAACATTTTAAACTTTTTCAAATTTATAATAATTCAAAAAATTCTCATTAAAATTTCAAACTTTTTCAAACTACAAAATTTATAATAATTTATCAAATTGTCATAAAATCTTTAACATTTTTATAATTTGTAAGCTTTATACAAACTTTATACTAGTTCAACAAATTTTCATCAGAATTAAATTTTTTTTTTTAATTTCCAATGTTTATACAAAGTTTATAATAATTCAAAAAATGTTCATCAAAATATCAATCTTTTTCACAACCCCCTGTAAATCTCATTTTGAAGCCTTATACAGAATTTATATTTAAACTTTTCAAATTTTCAAAATTTACACAAAATTTATAATTATTCAAAAAAATCTCATCAAAATTTTAAACTTCAAATTTTCAAAAACTATTAAATTTATAATGATTCAACAAATTTTTATCAAAACTTAAACTTTAAAATTTAAAAATTGTCTACAAAATTTATAATAACTCAACAAATTTTCAACAACACTACAATCTTTTTGACAAAACCATGTAAATCCAATTTTGTAACTATATTTATAAGAATTCAAAAAATTTTCATCAAAATTTCGAACTTTTTCAAGTTTTCAAACTCTACAAATTTTCGTATAAAATTTAAAAAATTTAAATCATTTTTCTTTTAAATTGCTTTCATGAAATTGGCTGTCATAAGCCGTTCAATTTAAGCATAATAAGATGGACGTTTCAAATTCAAATCAACGCGATTTTTTAGATTTCTTTTTTGTCGAGGGTTTTCTTCTATAATAAAAAAGGCAGTATGAAGAAAATGCGGAACGCCTTCAACAAAAAGAAATATCAAAAAAAAACCTAAAACTTAATGGGCTACAAAACTGTTTACTCAAAAGAATTCCACTTTTTTTAGTTTGAAATTCTTCAATTAAAAGAAATTTTGTATAAAGTTTGAAAATCGGATTATAGAGTATGCTATATTTTTATAGAAAATTTATAAACATTAAATGCACAAAAGGGAAACTATCAATACTGGCCATCAAAAGAGAACGCTATGCAATTGGCCGGCACTGTAAATTTTTGTCGGCACAAATTCAAACTTTTTGTGAAAACGAAAGAGTGGGAAGTGCACTTGTTTACTTGCACATATGCACGGTTTAGTACATGTAGTCACACACATACATACATAGAAACATATGTACATATACATACTATGTGTATGTATGCCGATATGCATGCAGTTTCGCTACTTGGCGAATTATGGAATCGGGTAAAAATTTTTATGAATGAAATACACGCCAGTTCATTGAACCGAACTTTAGCTATACAAAGCATATTTGTATATGTACCTACAAACGGTACATACATACATATGTTCGTGTGCTTTTATGTGCTTTGCATGCATGCTGGTGCATTCATACACACCTACATACATACCTGCATACATACATATAGATAGTATGTGGAGACAGACAAACCCACATATCATTCAGCCAGACCGTCACAGTCGCTAAATACATACTCATACTGTATGTACATATATATATTTGTATCTGTTACCACTGATTACTGTGCATAATAAATACTTTTACAAATTAAATAGACTACATTGAATGAAATTGTGCTCTTTATTTCTCAATCTATCAAACATGCATCTACATATATGTATGTATGTATCTGCTTTACACCCACATGTATAGTATCCCTGTACATATGCACATGTTTGAGGTCCATCCGACACTAAATAGTTCTGCAGTTAGAGGCGCTTGCAGCCGCTTCATTCATGCCAGCACTTGTAAGCAGGGACCGTAACATTAATTCATTCTTTTTATTATTATTTTTTTTTGCTATCAAAAATAATTGTACTCATTTTTCGACATAATTATAACCGCTATTTTCAGAATAAATTTTTTAGATAATAAAAGATCTAAATCTGCCGTAAAATTGCAGTCTCCATTATAACGGTTAAAAATGATCGAAAAAATAACAATTTTGCAATGATCTAGAAATAAAAATCTCGATATTTAACGGTTATTTTCGGTCCCTACTTGTGAGTAGTATATATTATACTTACGGTGACCATCCGTAATAGTAATTTCCTTTATAAACAGTTATTATTTTCTAATCTGAATGCCTGTGATTCGAAACGAGGAATAGGTACAGTGGACAATTAGTGGACAGTAAGTTTTGGCTATTTTTTTGGCTTATTTAATGTTTATTATTTATTTTATGAAAGTAAAGCTTTTTTCCTAAAAAAAACATATTTCCAACTTTGTGCAAAAAACTATAAAAATTAATTCTGCATGTTTCACCGAAATTTCAAACTTTTTAATTAGAATCTTTAGAAAAAAAAAATTGGCTTGCAGTTTGGTAACTCATTAAAATTGAGGATAATAAAGTGCGAGCGGAAAGTGCTGCTCATTTGCTTCTCTTTCATAAAAAAAAGGTCGAACATACATACATTGTATGAAAAAATGCGTCACACCGTCAACAAAAAAAAAAAAACAAATGCCAAAAATTAGCTGTAAGACATACCGACTTAAAATTGCACTTTTTTATACTAAAATTTAACGAATTTTTTTTAAACATATTTTACGGGGTAAAAATCTCGAGAAAAATATCCTACAAATTTGTGATGTTACTATCAGGATACTGTTTCAGGGAAAATAGTGTGGAAAAAAATTTGAAAAATTTTTTTTTGTCCCGTATTCGGCTCTCATAAATATGGTCACCCTAATTATACTCACTGTTTTTATATGTCCGAGAAGAGGTAACTTACAACAAAATCGATCGCTATATCGATAACGATACAGTAAAAAAGGTGGAAATAGCAATAAATAATATTGAAATTGAGCGGAAAATGTTCATACCGAAGTCGATAATTATATCGATACCCAACAAGCAACCCCTTCTTAAGACCCCGAATTTAAGCACCTATTTTTCTGGTATGAATGTACTACATGCATATAATACAAACACACATATGTACGTATGAATGAAAGGATGGCTTATGAATAATTATTTTTAACAAGAAACACTTACACACATGTTTCGTTAAATATTACAAAAATTATATATTATTCAAAATATTTTAAAAA